ACACTTGTAAAGTTTATTATTATTATGTGTCGTCTAAATATTTGACTAAAAAATGACCGTAGCAATATTAATTATTTCTCGAAGGAATCTCGTACTCGAAGGAGTAGGAAAGTTATCGAAGGAGTATCTAGGTGGGAAATTGAGTATAGTGTATGTGAGAGCGCGCCATCTAGTCGCGGAGTATGTTTACATGAGTGTAATGACATGAAGTATAACTGGAAAGAAGAATTTCAATTGGTTGATTCTCTTATGCACTATGCATTATGTGTTATGTAAAAGTCTATGCCCCTCGCTTACGGATACATCCATATAAACTTGTATAGCCTTATAAAGGCTTGTATGCATAAAGAAAATTATTAAATCACATTTACGTGCGACTTTACAAGGGAAATGCGATTGGACAAGAAAATGTTTACTTTGTTATTTTTAATTTATTTTTTATTTGGGTCTTATTATTTCATATGCATGTAATGAAGCACAATGTCAGAGTTTAACAAATTTTTTTTTGTTTATTTATATATGTTCTTTATAAACAAAATATTTTATTTAGTTGCCTTTCTTGTTTATTATTGTTAATTTATAATAAAGTAAAATATTTCACCAGCCAGCGTTAACAATAGTAATTGCATTTTAATGCGCTATAAACGCAATTTTGTAAGATGTTACGCCGACATCGTTACATCGTTGTTATAATTCATTTTTTTACTTCAAATAAATTTTTTGTAAAGTAATAGTACATGAGAGCAACAATTTTATAATTTCAAAAAACATGTCACATTTAGACTGAAAAAAAAGATTGTCTGCTGAAACAATGATAAAATATAGCATAACATTTTTTATTGGCTGCAGCAAGTAATCTTACGTTTAATATTTTGTATATTTAAAATATACATACATATATTTGTATACATGCATGTATACATACATGTATTTAGAGCCTAAAAGGTTGCAATACTTTTTTTTTATATAGGTTTCTGAATGCATCCTGTTGGAGCGATTAGTTATTACTTGTGGATCTGTAAAAAAGAACCAATTGCTCGATGAAGGCTGCATCGTGAATGTGTATTACTTCCTATACTACTAACATTTTTAATGGCTGCTGTATTTTCTTGTATAACATTTTGACATGTATCATCTGTTATATCTACGTCGTGTTGATAATAAAAAATTATGCAGACAGACAATTACTTTAATTGTGCTTTCAATAGTTTTAAGTGACGCATTAGTTGGTTTCCTAAAAATTTTTTATATATTAAAAACGATATTACACATAAACAATAGGCAGCTAAGAGTACATAGTTATTATTAATGTATGTTACAATTCTTGTTTATTCTTTACCTATACATGTATCTCCATATGTTAACTAAAAATAAAAATGCATTTTTTGAGATACGTTTTGCTCGGCTTAATCTATAATTAAATATTCTTCTATTTCTACTCAATTGATTAACAGGATATGGTCTTAGCATGTATTCTGTAAATTGAAATGCAGCATGACTCACAAGCATATATGGAATAGATATATTACGAAAATTTGGCAATGGACATGAAGATGATAAATCCATGCTTATTTTCAAATCGTTATCCCATATTGGATTCTTTAAATATCCTTTCATTATTATGTGTTTGTGTAACTTCATAAAATCTCCATGAGACTGTTTTTTAAAATAGCGATCTGAAAAGTAAAGGTTTCGACCTGTAAAATGTTTTTTAAATACCCCGATATGATGATTTTCGACAAAGTTATTGTAATCTTGAAATTTGCCTATTTTTGCAGAATAAAATAGGTTAAAATAGGTTTTGCAGAAATAAATAGGTTGCATTAATTTTGTTGGCCAGTGTAATATTCGAAGTCATATTTTATGGACGTTAATGGCATTTTAAAAACATCAGGGTACATCTGATATTAATTTTCAATCAACTTATGTAGCTGATAACAATTCATCCAATTTTATTATAAATTTTAATATTTTTATAAAAGAAGATTTTTTGTAGAATATTTTATAATACATTCACTGTATATTCACTGTATATTTGCAACCATTATAAAAATTAAATCGAGATTATTACAAAATCCATCACATTTTTTAAATCGTGCCATTGCAAGATAGAACTCATAAATGACAATAATAAAATTTATCATTAATATCAATACAAATATTAAGTTCAAAAATATATTTGAGCCAATTTTATTTTCACGTCATTTATCTTTTTATTATTGTTATTTAATAATTATAAAATATTTAGTTTTCTTCCATAAATTATTAAAATTAGATATTATAATAATTAATTATTAGATATAATATTAGTTATTGATTTTTTGTATTAATCTTATATTTTTAATCGTTTTCATTCATAAATTCAATACTTTCAAAGGAAATAGAATAAAAAATACCTATAGGAATTAGACGACTGATTGCCTGAATATTATCATTGTATGTACACTGCTCGTCAATGATTCGAAGAGTCATTATAGTAGTCTGATTTATCGGCCTGATTTATTCGTCAAGTCGAAAAACGCACACGCACTTCGGAAAAGTGCACAACGGAAAAAACACATTAACAATAATAAAGAATAAAAATAAGAAAAATAATAAATAATTGATTTTTTATTTGTTGCAAATCCTCCCTTTCTTTTTTCTCTAATTTAGAAATAAATAAATTATACCCAACGAATATTTATATTTATTTATATATTTATTTAGTTAGGAACACTTATGGAGTGAGAGCAAATTTGATTTGAAATTTCCTTATGTAAATAATATATTTTCAAAATTGTACATTTTGTTCTAATTATTATAAAATTATAAAACAGCAACGCTATTTTTTAAATAACTAATATTCATTATGCTTGAGTCTCTAGAGAGAAAAAACGATTCGAATATGTGTGCAACATCGGTGAGTAGGTCTTCCTATCCTTGTGTATGCGGCATATAATAGATTGCACATATAAGGCAAAGATGTGAATATATATTTTAATCTTAGTATACTTTAGATTAATTTTTTGTAATTAACTAAAAGTAAATATTTAATCATACTGCTTGTGGAATGCAGCACACATCTGAAAACGCATAATTGATTAACTAATTAATTACATGATGTTAAAGTTTAAATTGTAAAATGTCATAGAAAGCGAGACTGGCAATTTGAGATCGACATTCAAAGCGTACATTCTACGCGCAAAAATAATAAAAATGTACGATTAAAAGTTGTACACATATATGTACAATATACAATATATATAATTACAAGGGCAAGTCAATAAGTTCTTAGAAAATCTATCAGAGGGCACTCGTAGTGTTATATTACTTTTTGACAAGTAACATCTTTCAGCTGATTACCGTCAAATTTTGAGCGGAATTCATCGCGTGGTTTTATTTCCGTAGACGATTAAAGCGAACAACTTTTGTATTTTTTGCAAAATGTATAGATATGAAAGATTTAACACCGAAAGAAATCAAATCCGAGTTGGATAATGTTCATAACACATCTGCACCAGCATTTGCGACTGTATACAATTGGGTAAATGAATTTAAATGGTCATACATCCATATGTGATGCACCTCGTTCGGGATGTTCAATTGAGGCTGCTATGCCAGAAATTATCGATAAAGTCCACGATATTGTTTTGACTGATCGACGAGTGAAAGTGCGCGAGCTTGTTGAGGCCATCACACACATAGGCATATCACATGGTACAGTGATTTCAATTTTGCACGAATAATTGGGTATGAAAAAGTTATCGGCAAGGTAATGATAATGCCTGCGATACTGCCGAGCCTTATAACTCAAAAAGCACTCAATGAAAAATAACTTTATTATAGTGTTTTTGAAAGCTCTCGACATCGACTATTAGACTCTGGAATCAAAAGTAGGATGTCCATTAAAAAAAAATAAAATTCACTTTGAAATGTCTCCAGCGCATCCGTCCATAAAATAATTATTTTCATTATGTGATGTCTCTCTTTGTACTGAATATGTTAGTATAAAACATTTTTCTGTATGTCTTCAAATTTCTCTGTCAGTAGGCGACTTACAAGCCGCAATCGAGCTTGAATCATTGGTAAATGATGCGATGAGTGTCTATATTTTTTACTCAGGGAATTCGCAAATATTATTAATAAACTATCGTAATGAATGCGAGTTAGATCATCATTTCTAATCGCCGTACTCTCTCACTTCTTTGAGACATTTGCTTTCTAATCTTCTACCCATTACTTTAACGACGCGAATGTTATGTCCTGACCGATCCGTACATCTTCTGAAATGATGTCTCAGTGTCGATTTTAAATAAAAACCCTTGCAATTTCCACATGCTAGATAATTTTTAAGAATCTTAGGTTTATTTTCTCTTGCTCGTCTACATGGAATAAAACTTTGCCCTTCGTATTTGCTTTTTAATGTTGAATTCGAAATTTCCTTTTTTTCTTATAGTATCGATGATCTTTCTTCTTTCCCTACAACCTTAGGTAAATATTTGAACTTTCGAACATCATCTTCCTCAGAATGAATTAATTCCAAATATCGGACAATCTTTGCTTGCATTTTATGACAGAACATACACATATTTTTTGTGCCTGCATGTTTGTAAGTATTACTGTTTGTTCATCTTGTCAAATTTCACATC